CGTGTGCTGACACTATCGGACCGAAGAAACCGCCCTTATCAACGGCCAACATGAATCGGGAAGCGGGGGCCAGGTCCCACTAGCAGCGTTGAGTTTCCTCAATGCCTGAATCTGGACGCGTTCGTCGAGATGTGCGGTTGAGAAAACTCAACGCGATTTCTGCACATATCCACAGACACGTCCAGATTCAGGCGTTGAGGAAACTCAACACTGCTAGTGGGACCTGGCCCCCGGGCGACATGCACAAAGGACAAAAAATATGGCAGTGTATCTTTCCATGTTCTGGCCGAAGATTCATTCCCATTTTGCTCATACGTTGAGCGTAGGGCTGTTGAATCAGGTAAGCACGTAACGTATCTTGGAGCCTTTCTTTTTTTTTTTTTGGAGAATCTCTGAACAAATGAGATTGAATCCTCCGCTTGAACATGGAAAGATACATTGCCATAAGAAGAGAGTTTCCGATTGAATCCTCCGTGTGTGTCGTGCAGCGAGCCCGTTGGTGAACACTACCGTTGAGGTTCTGACAGATTGGACGTGCCGGGCTTTGCTCGTGCAGAGAAATTCTGATTTTCTTCCTTACGTTTTTTTCTTTTTATATAATAAAAAAAAAAACCTCCAGGAAAAACGGATGTCAGTACCGTCGTTTTCTACTTCAGAAGTAATAAGAAGAGAACGTTTTGAGCGATCGCGACCGTCATCATGACTGAATCTGGCCTGCAAGAACCTACCCTACAGACTGCAAGAACCCTACCGTGCACAGTGTTACGCGGACTACAGGTTACTACAAGCTTTCAGGCCAACGCACGGCCTCCAAAACAATTTTGGCTGCCCGTTTCTTATTTTATGCGAGCAGGGGGCCGGGTCTACTACCGCCCCTCACAACTTTTTTTTTTCTTTTTCCGACCCCCATTTTTGGAGGTGCGCCGCATGCAGTGCGCGCGCGTCGTGCGGGATGCGCGGTGCGGCGCACGTGCGCAGTACAGCGCATCCATACAATCACAATGTTGAAATCGTCCGAATGCATGTTTTACAAAACGAGTCCAAATGCATTTGAGAGTGTTATGCTGGGGAGCAAGGCCGACTGACAGGTAGATTCCGATGATCTGCATTCCTGATGATGTCGGTCTGCAATGCGCTCCACTTCTCAGCAGATGCAGAAAAGACCAAAATTATGGTGGTGTATCTTTCACTGTTCTAGCAGACATATGGTGAGCAATCCACCAGTATGCGCCTTGCTCCACCGCTTACCAAACGTGCAAAATGAGAATGAATCTTCTGCCAGAACATAGCAAGATACACCGCCATATGTTTTATTCTTTGAGCATGTGGTGAGTACCCGAGTGAGTGCACTCGTGATGATGTCAGGGTGCGCTGTCAGTAACCACCTCGCTCCACTTCTCAGCACATGCAGAAACGACAAAAGTATGGCGGTGTATCTTTCCATGTTCTAGCGGAAGATTCGTTCCCATTTTGCACATTTGGTGAGTGGTGGAGCGAGTCACATAGTGGTGGAACACTAACCGAATGTGCAAAATGAGAATGGATCTTTTGCTAGAACATGGAAAGAATCCGAAAGATACACCGTGCAAGGAAAATGAGTGATAGCGAATTCCAGAAACCAGGCAGCATCATACACATGAAACCAGATAGTCTTGACCTCAGACCTAAAGCAGAATTGCAAGTTGAGTTCCACCAAACAAGAGCACAGCAAAAGCTCACAAGTGACAATGTTGGCATAGTCTCATCATCATCAACAATGAACCAATGTCGAATCCCTATCTGGCGCTCAGCGCCCAGACTACAAATGGCAGATCCTATCTAGCCTATCTACAATGCCGCTGCTGACGTCAACAGCTTCCCGAAGTACGAGCAGATCTCGGCCAATGCCGTTCGCATCAAGCACCAGGTATGTCCCTCGCTTCACTCACAACCTCAATCCTCCATACAGATGCCACATGCACCCGAAGACCACCATGCGCCCCATCCAGCAATGTGCAGGCCAGCTTGGCTATGGCTGCCTGCTTCTTCCCTGCTCGCCCGTGAGCGCGTAGGCACTTGCTTCAGCAGCTGGCGCAGCAGTGCTTGCGCATAAGCAGTGAGTGCACAAATGTCCAGCCAGCAGCCAGGCCCTTTCCTTTATGGAAAGTGGCTGCCTCTCGGGGGCTGCCTGGCTGGCCTGGGCCTCCACCCCGAAGCTTCCGGTAGGCCCCAAGTGGCTGAGGCCCTGTACCAGGAAACTCACACAGGGCCTGGGGTGGTTACATGTATCCGACTGCCGAGAGGCCATTCTTCAGTTCTTCCCCATGTCTGGCCCAGGGCCTGCCTCCGATTCATATGGATACAGCAGAGGCAGGGCCTGGGCTCAACCAACCAACTGACGCTGCGTAACTGACTGAATTTCCCCCAGTTGCAACAAAGGCAAAATAGGCCTCTCGTAGCTGAACAGGCCCAGGCCCACATTCACTTAGGGCGGCCTGACATGCTGGAAACAGGGCCCGATAGGGCTCGTTGAGGCCTCAGGCCTCGCACACCGCCATCCATTTTGTCTTTTGAGCATGCGGTGAGTAGTCGACCGAGGCTGCAGTGAGAGGCTTTCTGCCTTCGAGATCTGGCGGCAGAATAACTTCGGTCTGTATTTCAACAGTTCATTGGTGTGGTGTATCAACTGAGGTTTCTATCTTTTCTCCCCTCTCTCTCTTGGGATAGCAGTGTCAGTTCTGGGCCTCTGTCGTCAAGTTACTGTCTGTCTTCTTCCTGTTCGTACGTGTGATAGTGCGTGGCCAACGATAGATGCCCTCAGGCCACACTGTGTGCGTCCCCAGCACCCGAAGACCACCAGCACCATCACCAACCACCTCGCGAGCAGGCCCGGCTATGGCTGCTCTCGCCCGCTGCTTGCTTGCAGTGTGCGCTTCCAGCCAGCGCCCCAGCAGCGTGACCGCCAGGTCACCCAAAGCCACAATGCCCGTCTGGGCACTGGGCACTTTCCTATAGGGAAGTGCTTCCAGCCAGCGCCCCAGCAGCGTGACCGCCAGATCACCCAAAGCCACAATGCCTCACTGGGCACTGGGCACTTTCCTATAGGGAAGTGCTTCGCCCTCCAAGCGCCCTGGGCCTGGAGGCTGAGTCCCCAGTAGCCTGGTGTTGGGCCAAAGTGTCTGCGTCCGGGTCCATTCAGATAGCGGCCTGGGACCAGAACACTGAGAACAGTTAGGCCAAAACTGTGGGACGTGGCTCGCGTCGCTCGCTGCTTTCTGATTGTCCGAAAGGCCTGGAGGGCTCCAAAGGTTGTAGTCACATAGACGTCGGTGCTGTAACCAACTGGCGAGTGGTAACTGCCTGGCTCCCCCCATGCAGAAATGGCCTGAGAAAGGCCTCACCGGAATAATGCAGGCCCGCCTTCACGTAGCCCGGGCACGAGGCTTGCTGGGGGCCCCTGCTGTATCGGTTGCTGTGGCCTAGGGCCCTGGCTAGGGGCTCATACCTCGCGGATGTCAGAAAAAAACAAGAATAATGAAAAAATCATACCACAAGCACAGCATACACGAGGATATGCAACAGACCCCGCTTCAGCTAAAGGTAGAGGTTTAGCGAGATTTGGCACTGTCTAGCAACTCATGGAAGCATGTGCATACAGATCCTACGATGAGGTTTTATTTCAACCTACCATATCTACACCAGAACTGGATCCAGGTGCCACTAACCCAAGCTAGGTTCTGATACCATCCGAGCATCCATATGTTTCCGGCCAGGAGATTGCCCCAAAAGCATTTTTCTTTTCATTTCTTTTTGTTTTTCGGACTTTTCCCCTTTCGATGCCACAGGAGTTTCAGAATAACCATCATCCACATGTTGGCTATACTCAAATGTTAGTAGTCTACCTGGGACACCTGGCTGGGGATCCACGGCTAGGCATTCAGGAAAGCCGCCCGGGCCATCCCAGGCAGCTGAAAAGACCTGGAACTTTTTTTTCTCTTGATCGCTGGTGGCATTTCTGCACCCACCAAGATCAGCTCAAATGCAGGCTCCTTTTTGTCTTTCAGTGTTGTCAGTGGGCGTGACAGGAACAGGTGGTATACATCGGGTTTTAAACCACCAGTACTTCCTGAAGTTTTCCCCGTTAACAAGCCACAATTTTAGGAAACGTACACGCCACTACAGGAGTGCCCAAATTCATCCGGCTAGAAACGTTTCTCATCTATTTTTCTCTGTGGCCGATAGCTGGGCCATCTATTTTTCTCTGTGGCCGATAGCTGGGCCAAGTACTGGTGGTTTAAGGGGCTGACTCTGAAGGGGTGTGCCTTCGTTAAATTTCCTTTTTTTTTCCTCTTATCTTGTGCCTCACCAAAACGCTACACATGTTTTCCTTCTAGGTGCAATAACCCGTGCCATATGTCTCGTAGAATGTCTGAGGGCCTACTTGGCCGCCCTAAGCCCAGGCCAAAACGGGGGAAAAAGACCCCACACGAAAATTCAGGGCCTGGACGTGAGACAGTTGACTTTTGTCATTTGTCGTGACACCAACAGTCAAAGTCCAAAGGTACCCAGCCCAGGCCGCCGGTCAAGCACACACACTTGTTTGTATGCAGGTACTCAGACAGCATCAGGTCCAAGGGGAAGTCTGCAACTGTACACAATCGGGGCCCTCGGCTGTGAGGCAATCTGGACGACTGAGTGAACAGGACTCGAGGCCAGACAGCCTTGTCAAATGCTACTTAAAGCCTGGCCTCGAGGTGGTCAGCATTCAGTCTTGCTATGCTGCTTTGACGCTGGCTCAACTTTGACTTGATGCTGGCGAGACGCTGGCTGTGTGCAGGCACTGTGGACGACGACACGGACTGTGACAGCATGCTGGCGCAATCTGCATTATGCGCCACGCATGATGATGTGGCGCTGCCTCTGGTCTACATTGCATGCTGATGTGGCACTGCCTCTAATCTACATTGCATGCTGACGTGGCGCTGCCTCTGGTCTACAGTGCATGCTAATGTGGCGCTGCCTCTGGTCGACATTGCATGATGACGTGGTGCTGCCTCTGGTCTACATTGCATGCTGATGTGGCGCTGCCTTTGGTCTACATTGCTGATGTGGCGCATGTCACTGGTCTTCATTGATGATGTGGCGCAAGCCACCTGTCTTGACTGCTGACGAGGCATTGCCCACGCTGTGTACATGAGGTGACTGGTTGCGAGGAGGAGGAAGATCGGGATTTGTGAAAGATTGGGGTCGGGTACTCACCTGAGGTTGACGACGTCACTGTAATCTGCTGGGTCTTCATGGTCTTCACGAGATACATGAGCATAAAAAAAAGTAAAAATAGATAAAAGAGTGCCACTATTGTGTGATCAGGATTATATTATACTTGTTATCATATATTGGTTGTTGACGTGGAGAGCGAAGAAGCCCGGAGAACGAGTGGGGTTTGATGGGATTACGTTTGTGTGATCTTTGATCATGTCTTCCACCTTCTCCTCTGTCTAATCCCCCTCCACTCTCTTCGTCTAATGGTAATGAGATATTGTTTCAGATATCACTTCACAATAATTGGAGACTTTGCTGCAGAAACCGAGACTACTGGTACTTGACGACTAATGAGTATCTGCTAGACTGGGTTCATCACATAGATTTCTAAAAACTTTTTTTGGGAGCTGGGGCTGTCCAGGACCTGACCTGGGACATCCGCAGCCTGGGCACCTGGCCTGGTATCCAAGCTTTTTTAAGTCAAGCATTCAACCATGATGGAGAGTCTTATTATGAATATACCGTCCAGATAGCCAGATGGACATCTGAACGCCCTGGCACCCAGAGCTCGCGCCCAGAGTAGTCAAAGCTGTCTACATTCACTTGCAATACTGGTTCACCTTCAAAAGTTCCAGTTGTCTTAGCATGAAAAGCGACCTGAGGAAAAGATCTCAAGCTCCAATGCAAACTTGTAGCCGGGTCAAACCGCATTTGGCACTTGAGAAAAGAACTCAGTCTAATGGTCTTGAAATATCGATCAGATCCGTATGCCTGGATATTGTCAGGCCCATCTCCACTCTGATGTTCCAATTGGTGAGATGTCCAGGTCCAGCATCACTATGACATCTCCCCAGATTCGAATCAGTCCTACACAAACACAGACCTAGAGCAAATCGGGCACATGGAATGGGTACAGCAAGCATCTGACAACTACTCAGGGGCAGAGGGGACAGTAAGCCTTGTACATTTGTTGAGAAGGTCAAACCAGAAGCATTTATGAACAGACGACGGCTAATGGTTGCCTGGATGGCAGCTCACCATAAAATGGGCCCCTCACGGGAAAAATGACAAGCAGAAGGAAAACGTCTGTACTTCCTTCACCACTATCTCTCCTCTGTTGGCTCCTTCCATTGTAAGCCTTCTGCTGTATTGTCCGCAAGGTGGTCTCCATCTGCTCTAACCCTCCAATATGTGGTGGGAATGCCGGGGCCTGGAATAGCTGGTGAAAGAACATGGGACAAGACCACAACCAAGCAGTCCACACAAGATTGGAGGTGTAAGCACAAGTTTATAACTTTATATCAATAGTAGATTCAATACTAAGTGTGTGCCACTACAGCTAGGCTACCATCCAGGCAGCTGAGGGCAAACCACACCGGCCACCCAAACCACAATTAAGTATTTGCCACTACAGCTAGGATACCATCCAGGCAGCTGAGGGCAAACCACACCGGCCACCCAAGCCACTCAGGTGGGTGAGGTGTAGGCAAGGCGTCAGGCAATCCAGCACAAAATTCCTGGTGCAATCGGACAATCGGTTTGAATATGGGTTCGATTCCCCACGCCGTCCGTCCGATTACCGCACGGCCCCCTGCGGCGCACTTAAGGTTCACCCGCTGAGATAGTTGGCTTGACCCCCCCTGGCTGGTCTTGGCAGGAGTAAGAGTCTTGCCATCCCTCGATACTGTCTTTACCCGAAAACAAGGTACGTACCTTCTATTCAAGTTACCTCCAAAAAACGGATTCTAAGAAATCGCTGTTAAATTTCCGAATAGAAGCTGCTGACACTTTGAGAAGGAGGGCATGCCCACGCTACAACTTTGCAGAATGTATGAACCCGCTTTCCCGCCCTAAGTTCAGTTTCCATTTTTCTTTTCCCTCGTCTTTTTTTGTGGACCTGACACCCCTACCGTAAAGCTCTCACTGAGGGCATACTGGCACAACAACTTCGGGGCAGGTATCTACCTTGTATCACGTCCAGAGGGATGTTCGTTTTTTTTTCTTTTTTCTTTTTTGTAGTACGTCGTTTTTTTTTTTTTTTTTTCTTTTTTGTAGTAAGTCTGGCTGTGCTTTTTTTTTTCATTTTTTTTTCAGAACAGTACCAGAAAAGAAACACAACGGCCCCCAGGCTCGGCAAAACTCAGTGCGCAGTGAAAATCAGGGTTGGCAAAAACAGGCTCGGAAGTAGTGGTGGTTTAAAGTTTAAACCCCTTTCAAACCTATTATACCCCGAAGTTCCCAAACTACTTTCTTTGGATGACCCTTCACCCATGTGGACAACAAGGCGAGGTTCTCACAGTTCAGGTCAGGGGCAACACTTGGCGCGGATCCGCACATGCAGTCAATGCTCCTCAATTTTCAGCACTGAAAATTCTGAAGTGAGAAAAAGTCACTGTCCCAACTGAATTGAATGTGCCAATGTCGCCATAAGCTGACGCGAGCGGTGTCAGCTTAAGGACATTGAGATTATACTACACTAGGCCCTCAAAATCACAGAATTGCAAAATGAGCGGCAAGATGGAGTAGGACTCGATCTGGCCGCCGGCTTTGCGATTCTGTGATTTTGAGTGCCTAGTGTAGAGTGTGAGTATCAAGCTTCTGAAGCATAGCTCGGACACATTGAGATGTGCTGCATCGCGCCCGTGTGACGCACAGCGTGTAGTGCATGCAGCACGCACACCCAATGCGCAGCACCGCTGAAAATTGACCCCCCCTTCCCCAAATAAAAGAAAAAGGTCCGGGGGGCAAAAAGGGCCTAGCCCCCCACTGGGCAAAATTGAAAAGACGGCCGCACAATTTTTTTTGGGGTCGCACCAAAGCCCGAAAAAAAATTTGGGGGGCTGCAGATGCCAAATTTGGATTCGCAGTTGGCACTGCCTGACCATGCCCCCCCCTCCTCGCCCCGTCACACCTCCACTCCCATCACCGTTTTAGTGCCTGGCCGCCGACAGCCACCACACTGTCAAACTGGAGTGGTGTGCCATCCCGCAGTCCTGTAGACATGCCCATGAAGGGAGACGGAGAGTGTGGAGGAAGAGGGACAGTGCAGTGGGGGGAGGGAGAGTGTTGGGGTTGCAGGAGCAAGGCAGCGAGGAGCAGCTGGCCGCAGGCATCAACAGCAGGCAGCAGGCAGCGGGAACTGCAGGAGGCACCGGGCCTCATTATCCAAGGTCGGTGACTGCCAGGCCCCCCCCCTGCCTCTCTCTCTCTCTCTCTCTCTCTCTCTCTCTCTCTCTCTCTCTCTCTCTCTCTCTCTCCCTGCCACCTTTCTCCACCTCCTTCCTTGTCCCTCGGCCACCTCCCCCTGCTCCCTCTTTCTTTTTCCCTTTTCTTTTTCGTTTTATTTTGCACCTGGGCATGCCCCCTCCACCCTCCTCCTGTCACCATCTTTCTCCCTCCATCCCTCCTTCAGCCATCTTCCACCTCCATCCTTGTCCCTCGGCCATCTTCCTCCCTCCTCCTGCCACTACCTTTCTCCGACTTCTTCCTCGTCTCTCGGCCATCTTCCGCACCCATCGGCAATACTCCGCCTCCTTCCTCCTTCCCCCGGCCATCTCCCTTTTTCTTTTTGTTTCTTTTGCACCTCGGCGTGGTCCTCCTGCCTTCTGCTGCCGCCATCTTCTCCCTCCAACCCTCCTCCTTCAGCCATCTTCCACTTCCTTCCTCGTCCTTCGGCCATCTTCCTCCCTCCATCCGCCACCATCTCTCGCCCATCTTCCATGCCAATCAGCCATCTTCCACCGCCTCCATTACTCGGCCATCTCCCTTTTTCTTTGCATTTTCTGTTGCACCTCCGGGCCCTCCTCCCTTCTCCTGCCACCATCTTTCTCCCTCCATCCCCCCTCCTTGCCATCTTCCACCTCCTTCCTCGGCCATCAGCCATCTTCCTCCCTCCATCCCTCATCCTTCAGCCAACTTCCACCTCCTTCCTCATCCCTTGGCCGTCTTCCCCGGCCCCCCCCCCCCCCCCTCTCCCCCACAAAGCCAAATTTTGAATTTTAATTTATCTTCTACTTTTATTTCGCACTTCAGCGTGGCCTCCTCCCTCCTCCCGCCACCATCTTTCTCCCTCCATCCCTCCTTCGGCCATTTTCCTCCTCCCACACTCATCTTCCTCCCTCCTCCCTCCTCTTCCTCCCTCCATCCCTCTCCTTCGTACTTCTTCCTCCCTCCATCCCTCCTCCTTTGGCCTTCTTCCTCCCTCGTCCCTCCTCCTACAGTCATCTTCCACATCCTCTCACCCCACCTATTTCACCTTCCCCTTGTCCCTCGCTGTTTCTTTCTTTTCCGTTCAATACGCAAATTGCACAATGCTTTTCACACAGTACAAAGTTTTGGAATTCTGTCAAACGTGCGTAGGGTTCCCCAATTTCTCACAAAAACCTAAAGCGGATAAAAAATCATAAAATTCCAATAAATCCACTAGGGCTGTGTGGCAACCGGTGTTCTGTAATTTCTAGCTACCAGCCGGACCGCCCAGGTCACTTTATTTGCCCGGGCGTCCTGTCCGTGCAAGGGCCAAAGAAGATCCCAGCAAAAAAAGAAATCTGAAAAAAAAAGTACGTTATGGCAGGGTTATGCACATCATTTTATTTTATTTTTCTTCTTTGTCTGTGCTGGGACTGCTCGGGGGGAGCAGCTGGTAACCCAGCAGAATTAAAACAATTAGTAAAAATCTGAAGAATTGTTATGACCCGCCAAAAACACAGACTGAGAACACTGCCGATTTTTGGGATTTGTCACTGGAATGGATGCCTTGTTGTGATTCCCGCATTCTGCTGTGATTCCAAGTCTGTGTGTGTGCGTGCCTGCTGATTGCATACCTGTCTGAGTGCTTGTTGGTTGTGTGTGTGTGCGTGCATGCCTGTCTGAGTGCTTGCCGGTGGGGTATGTGTGTGTTTGACCCGCAAGGGTACTTGTTGGTTGCAAGGCCCACCGGGCCGGTACTTACCTGTGGCCATGACTCTGGAGGGTTGCAGGGGGGTAAAACACGCCGGTAGCGGGAGGTAGGCCCACGGCACTAAGAGCAGCTGGGGAAAACACTCAGTAGCAGGTAGGCCGAGCAGAAGAAGACAAAAAGTTGGCATTTTTAGAGGTCCAGTAGCGGTAGGTTGGGGGTAGGCCGGTACCAGTCCAAGTAGCCCGGGTCTAGGGCCTGTGCGGACAATAACAGAGCCTGCAATGATGTTTC